ATACGTAATAATTCGTATTTAATAGCAACGAATTCAGTCGTATCTTCTATTTTTCATTAATAGATCTCATTAACAAAAATATGTTCGATCCACGGCCATTTGAGGGAAAGAATGGCAACCCGGTTCTTGTACCGGCGAAAGACTTTTATAAAATGCAGCAGCTTTTTCAAATCAATCGATTTAATTTGATGGCTAGTGATAGAATACCATTGAATCGATCTCTACCAGATGTTAGAAGAAAAGGGTAATGTGTTTATTGGATATTTATCTTATCTATAACATATCAGCAGTAGGTAATTTACCGATTGCAGGTGCGTAACACGATATATGAACGTAGGTAACTTACCGAAAACGTCGATAATTATCGTCTTCCATAACGAAGCTTGGAGTACGTTACTCAGGACTGTATATAGCGTAATTAATAGATCGCCAAGGCATTTGTTAGAAGAAATTATTCTCGTTGATGACAATAGTGACAGAGGTAAACAAATAATATCTTTTATTAATACTCTCTCTTTGTACATGCTTTAAAAAACAAATTTCTTGTTTGTTAGATTTTTTGAAGGACGCGTTAGATGAACATGTAAAGAATTTAAAAGTTTCCACTAAGGTTCTTCGTTCCAGGAAACGTATAGGATTAGTGAATGCGAGGCTTCTAGGTGCCAACAGAGCCAAAGGGGAAGTCCTCACATTCCTTGACGCACATTGCGAATGCACGGTTGGTAGGTAAGCTCTTTTGTTAATATTTTTATGATAAATACAGCATTACATACACGATAAAACGATATATTTTTTATTACGACGTTTACATCAATATGTTTTAGGATGGTTGGAACCCTTACTTGAAGCGGTTGCTAAGAATAGAACTAGGGTAGTATCACCTGTTATCGATATAATAAATGACGATACTTTCAGTTATACACGGTGAGATATAATTATGTTCACCATCTTTTGACAATTAAATAAATAACAATACAATATCGCAGGTCTTTCGAGTTACACTGGGGTGCATTTAACTGGGATTTGCATTTTCGCTGGCTAACGTTAAACGGTCGATTGTTGAAAGAGAGGCGTGAAAATATCGTCGAACCGTTCAGAACACCCGCCATGGCTGGAGGATTGTTCTCTATGAATCGAAATTACTTTTTTGAACTAGGGAGTTACGACGATCAAATGAAAATTTGGGGCGGTGAAAATTTGGAATTATCTTTTCGAGTATGGCAATGCGGCGGTAGCATCGAGATCGCTCCCTGCTCTCACGTGGGGCATCTCTTTCGAAAATCCTCACCGTATACGTTCCCAGGCGGTGTCGGGGAGATTCTATATGGGAATCTCGCTAGAGTAGCCTTGGTTTGGATGGACGAATGGGCAGAATTTTATTTTAAATTTAATACAGGTAATTAAACTTTCTTTAAAAGATTGTTTCACAAATGAATTAAGCGCTCACTGTACGTCTCCTTTCAGAGGCAGCTAGATTAAGAGACAAACAACCAGTTCGAGGTAGATTGGAATTACGTAAGAGGCTACAATGTAAGAACTTCGAGTGGTACTTGAATAATATATGGCCAGAACACTTCTTTCCGAAAGACGACCGTTTCTTTGGACGGGTAGATCTAAATTTAAAATTATTATCAAATAAAAAGCTTAAACGTTAAATCATCGTAATAACTATTCATGTATTTTCATTACGATATATTTCAGATTCTGCATATTTCATCGAACAAATGCATTATGCGACCAACCGCGAAAGGGACGTATTCTCAACCTTCGGGATATGCAGTCCTTGAAACGTGCCTTCCACGACCAATACTTAGTCAAATGTTTGTGATGACGAAGGATGGAATTATAATGACCGATGAGAGCGTCTGCTTGGATGCACCCGACCATGACACCCAGCACAAGACACCAAAGGTTAAGATAATGGCGTGTAGCGGTAACGATAGACAAAAATGGCGATATGACGAACAAGTGTGTTTCGAATTTTTACCTGTATTCGTTTATAAGCTTTGGATAAATTCTGAATCTTTATTTTGTCCTTTTTAGTCGAAGACTTTCGTGCACGTATCTTCCGGAATGTGTTTGCAATCAAAGAACGACGAGGGTCCTGTGATAGCAGCTTGTACAAAAAACATCGATCAGAAATGGTTATTGGAATCGATTCCTTGGAAATAATAACATCGGTATTTTCTTATATCGAACGCTATCTCAAAACACGATACATTTGTACAAATTATTTCTAATAGAAATTTAATTTACGAATTTTTACTTTCATAATTCACTTACGGCTATTTCTACAGGAAATATTTGTAAATAAATGTATGGCTGGCTCTTTTATAAAAGTTGTTAATATTTATAAAAAGGAACTATTCGATGCATTCGATTTATGAACTTTGGCGTCATCTCGATTAAACGTGTGTCGCACACGTTTTTGCCAGGCTAATATAGAAGTTTCTTAAGTAGGTAATACGTCATTGTCAATTCCGGAGAAGATGCTGTCCGTAGTAGGTGATTCATCGAACCACTAAGGCTACACGCGACGAATCATCTTTATCGTCGATCTTATCAAGGTTGCGTTGTCCTCGAGATTACGCGAATTTTGCATTTACGGTATCAAATGTATCTAGACGGAAAGTACCTATTTACATGGATAAGTGGTCCCACGAATATCGCAAATTTATCAAATTTCATTTTATCCCTATCTATCATTTTATCCCTATCGTGGCTATTTATTTTTTTTTTTTTTTTACCAAAAAAGTTCTCTACGAAAGCGACGAACGTCCAGTGGAATAGGTTTTTTAGAGAGGCGTTTTAAGCGTCGTTTCGAGTAGAACAATCAGAATTCGTACCAATAGTCTGGTTGGCGTAGTTTACCGATATGTGGGTCAAAGTCATGTCCTCGGCGAGGCCAAGAAGCCACTTAGCTCGAAGCGGCCTAGTCTCCCTGTTCGTTACGATCACCTCCAGGCCAAGTTTGGTCGAGATGAGCGAGTCTTTATTTATGGATCGGTATCGTTAAGCGCGTTAATCCGTACGAGTCTTTTCTTCGAATTCGTCAATTCGCATTCATAGACACGGAATCGTGCGATTCCATTATCTTTCGGTGGAAGCAACGATTCTTCGACGTCCGTCGAAATTTTACATAGTCTTTATCTTTATATTTTTACAATTATTATATTCCCGGTAAAAAAGAAATTTTACATTACGTGTATATCAACGAATAAACGATAAAAATAGAAAGGGGATCTGGAAGAATCGGCGAACGAAGAATAGAAAAATCGAGACGAAGATTCAGATGCGTTGACCACACGATCGCGACCATCTTCGGAAAAACTTGAACTTTCGACTCGTCAGATCTACGCATCTACCGTTGCTTTGCAAATGCTCGGATTTTTCTCGCGTTAGAAGGAAACAGGAATTATTAGATAATTCCGTTGCATCGAGAAAGGCAAGTTGATTCGTCTTTGAAGTCTTAACTTTCTTTTAATCGCGTCTCATAATCACGGAGAAGCTCGCGAAATTGTAGGGACGCAAAAATAGGGAGTTTAATGAAAGGTTCGCAGAGGTATACGTATAGGCGGCAGAAACGCCGTGAGAGAGCGGAGAAAGTAAACGCAAGTACGACGAGAGTTTCTTTAAAATAAATTTCCACCTGTAACTTCGTTTCTCTCTCTTTCTCTGTATGTGTACATCCATATATATATTTTTTCAAATCGAATATTACATATAAACATATATACAGTTCACCACTATGTTCTACAGGACGCGCGACTACGGGGGCTAAAACAGACAGTGTGTGTGTGTTCTTTTTAACTTAAGTATAAAGTAGGAGCACTTAAGAAGGAAAATCGTTCGTAAGAAAAGAGCGGTAATATCTTTCGTTTTCGCGACGAGATCATCCACACTAGCGAACGTGTACGAACGTCCGTTCAACTTTACGATTGCAACCAAATTTACAATTGAAACGAAAGGTGAAGGGACGCGACACATATGGAGGCAAAGGATTCGTCGATCTCGTGGTGGCAGCGATCCCTGCGATTCGATCGGCGTTGGGTCGCCCTATCGAAATTTGACTATGTGAAAAAAAAAAATATATAGACGAAGGAAAAAGGAAAATAAAAGACAAAACTGAGCGTGGATGGACAACACCTGCGCACACTTACGAGCTAGCGGTTCTAAAAGGTAACGAGCGCTTGATAGCTTGGTCGGCTGGCGGCGCGGCGCCTGTTTCTGGCTAAACGGTAAATACGTATAACTCGGTAACCTCGGTGAAATCACAATCGTCGTGCGATTTACACACACACGCACGCACATATATATTATATTTATATCCATTTTGCATATACAACTCTATGTTTATATATATATATATATCTATTTGATACATATATACGTATATATATATCAATATCATTAAAACGGTACTCTTTCACGATCCGCCTGGTACACGTTGCGCGGGGCTGACTATGTTTAGTTGCGATGAGTAGGACGACGCGCGAGAACTATCACCCCCGTCGTTTCAAGCAAACTCGATTTCGATGCATTTCGCGCACTGATTTTCCCTCGAGTCGATGCTCGACAGACGAACGCGTTTGGGTGAGATCGTTCGTTGAAATTGCACGCAGATCGTTCGCGGGATTAGCTGCTTCTAGCGATTCGCCCATCGACGAGTTCGTCTCGGTTTGTCGCCGGAACGATAACGCTCGTATTTAGATCTCGCGGAACTCGCCGATGCGCGATGAACTAATACCTTTGCGACGACTTCGACTAACTAAATTGAGCCTCGTTTCAAATTCTAGCAGCTATATAGGTACGTGTATTTTATTATATTATAATTCGCTAATACGATTCGTATCGCTAAAATATCGCGCGTTCTTACGTATATACAATGATTGGAAAACAGGAGCCGGGGAATCCGTCTAATCGCGTCTCGAAATCGAAAGGTAAGAGCGAGCATTTCCAACACCACGATGGAATCGCAATTTCTAGCAGGGTTTGCAAAGCGTCGGATCTTTTTCGTACGATGTTTTTCCCTGTCCTCGTAACAACAGGCTGTCGTAATTCGAATCGTGCTAACCTGTCCAGTGAAATCACGCGTGCAAACTGGAACGAGATGAGATCGAAAAAACCGGCGCTCGGACGTGAGAACACGCCGCGATTTTGTGGATAGACTCGTCTCCGAGAAATTTCGCGGCCTCTTTTTTTTTTTCAGGCAACTGGTCGACGGATCGCCTAGCGTGGAAACTAGCGACCACTCCAAACGGAGATTCGCGTATTTTTCTGGAAAGTGGTGGCTTCGCTTCGCTATTACGTTGAACGATTTAGAACGAGAGGAGCAGAATCGCGGTGTTAGCTTTATTCGAGTATACGCTCGCGTACGAGTTGATTTCTGAAGACGAAACGAAGACAGAAGGGAGAGGAGACATTCGAGGAGTAGCACGTGCAACGGGATCGGGGTTCGGGGATCGGGGATCGACGAGTTAAACCGACTGCGGAATTTCGGTCGAAATACGTCGGATCGGTGACTGTGGGAGGTGGCGAGGAAATCGATTTCCAAGGCTCGTGGGTTTCGATCGATCTTTCTTTCTCCTCGTTCGGACGTTCGTCCACCGTTCTCTTCGTCTGGATCCGCGAGGACTCGTCGATTCGTTCGTTCCTTCTCTCGGCTGTATCTCTCTGTTAACGTTTCATGGATGTCGAGACTCTCTCGCTTCGATGTGACTCTTTTATTGCGTTTCACTTTCGCGATGAGCTTGCCCGTCCGATCGGGGCGTGGCAAAAGTGTAACGCAACAGAGGTCCGAGGCCATCGTCGGTCGGGATCGTATGCGTGAGGCAAGAAAAACAGGGCCTGCCATCCTCTCTCGAGGCTTCGTTCGCGTAGCGCCGCGGAGGAGAGAGATATCTATACCGTAGAAGCTTAGTCACACCTCGGGCCACGTCCTCGTAACGCGTTGCATCGATCTCCTTACGAAATCGGTTCGCTCTTAAAATGGATTTTGTGAACACACACGTCGTTGCATGCCGCGCGCGGATCCTCCGATTCCAGATGCGCATGCTGATGCATTGACGAAAGGAACTCCACCGCCTCTTTCTCTCTCTCTCTCTCTCTCTCTCTCTCCATTTCCCGACTTCCAGACAAACTCCTGTCGACCGTTTCGTAGCTTCGCATCGTGAAATAAATTTCAATGTTTCAACTCTGTCGCCAATCTTCCGGTTATTGGTATTCAACATTCAGTAGAATTCTAGTTGCAAAGTTTCCTACCAAAGTTGCGTCGAGCAAAAGCGACGTTAGTTTTTCCGTCGTTTACGATTCCAGGGACGATTTTATCGCGTTTGTTTGTTGCAATGCGTTGCATTTGCCAGTCGATGACGATTTTTATCGGCTAGATATCAAGGTCGCGGTTGTTCGAGGTTCGCGTTTCATTTAGTCGGCGGCTCCTGTAATTTAGAAGATCGCCGACATTTCAAATTAGAAAGCGCAAATAGTTTCTCACGCGTCACCACTCGAATCCTCCGCGCCACCGTTTCTTCGGATTCCTTGGGAAAGAATACGCCCAGGCCTCTCCTCGTCGCGCTTTTCGCTTAATCGCTCGTCGATCGTATTTACCAAGGTCAAGATGATCTCCTGACCGCGTGGTTCGCCATATCGTGCACCTCTGCACCTGCGCTACTTACAGTGAATGTCGGTACATGGTAGAAAGTACCGATAAATTGCCACCTAGTACCGTGCCGGCAGCCGATTCCATCGCTTCCAACCTCCCTCTCGCTTTTCCACTCGCTTCCCTCTACTCTCGTGCGCTTTAATTTCCCTAATTTCCATGTTTCCGAAGCGAAATTCCTTCCTCGCTAATCTTCTCGCGGAATTTTTCGTTTCGCTACCGTTTCGATCTTTGGTACCGTGATTCCACGTTTCTCGCACCGAGTTTCCTCTCTTGCCAATCACCCAGTCGTTGCTCAATGATCCACCGCGTCGTAAATACGAAACCCGGCCAATTTCATTCAATCCGTGCAAGATGAGTGCAAAAAACGTCCAACTTTCCACCAGCCGGATTTCTAGCGGATTACGAGTCGCCCACGTAACCATCCGGTGCCAATTTTAGAAGCGTTCGTACGGTACTCCGTTGGCCGGCTGTTCGATCTAGATCGAGCGTAATTAATCGAAGCGGGTCCCGCTTACTCCCAAGGTCGAAACGCCACCCGTACACTCGCGTCGATTAGAAAGTTCAGATGAATTCGTAACCACGAACGGAAAGCGATCGGATCGTTTCGCCCCGGGTACGGTTTCCAGCGATCATCCGCAGGAAACCAGGGGCACGTAGGATCGTGTGGGATCCGGCCTATGGCGCCTTTACCAGCTTCATCGAGTCGTTCTGGTAATGGTCGGCTACAGGAAGCTGCTTTTCCTGCGTGTTTTCCCACGTATTCGGTGTTATTTATCTTCGATGTAAGATTCATCCTAAAGTGCGCCGTTAATTTCTCCATCTTTGCATAATCCTTTGATCCGTTTCATCTTTGCATGATCGTTTCATCGGTTTAAACTTTGCGTAATCTCTGCGCGTTCAACTTTTCTAATTCGATAAATGAAAGTCGACGATACGGACGGCTATAACGATCCGCGGACAACTCGAATGCCAAGACAACCCGTTCTTTCGATGATTTCTTGCTTTATGAAAACCGTTCCACGCTCTGACGTCGCGTCTCCAACTTCCTCGATGACGAACTCAACGAAGAACTTAACGACTCGTGTCGCGGGCATCGAGTTTCTCGTTCTTTCCGGCCGAGGACGATCGACGACCGCACGGATCCGCCCATCGATTTCTATTTCATAGTCGGTCGTCGGTGATCGACACCGCGGATTAGGATCGAGGCGATGGAGTGGTTAAAATTCACTTTCTAGGTCGTAAAATCGCGAAGCGTCGTTTTCAGCCATTCGGTATTTCCCCTGTGGTGCTTGGTATTGTTCGACGATTTCGTCTCCTGGCTGTTCCTGGCAACAATCGCTGGAAATTATCTAGCTTTGCCCTTCGAATCGAGCAGCGAATATTCTAACGAGAAGCTACGCGATTCCGCTAACTTGCTAATTTTGAAAACGGCTGGACGAGAAAAGAGGACGAATACGACGAGAATTGAGTTACAGTTTGTCAGCCCTCGCGCGTTTATACACGTTCCGTGTAAATTAATCTTCAAAGTACAGAAGGGTATTGTACTTTATAGAATTATATAAAATTTTGTCTTCGATCGACGATAGTATAGTTCCTTCCATAACACTGCCTTGTCGATTAATTTAAGAACGGAATTGCACGTATTTTATTAGTCCACCTTGCCCTACTGGAACGTAATAATCTGACGTCTAATGGTACTAAGATACTACTTAAAGTCGAGTTTTATCGTCTGCCTCGGCTAATTGTAAGTCTCTGCGCATCAAATACTTCGGAAAACATTTCAGGCACGTTCTGTAAGGCACCTCTTCGTTTGATCAACGTCTGAACACGATGAATTCTAGTTACCAAGAGTTAGAATTACACGAGAATGTGAAATTAGCGAAACAAGTCCGTTGCGTAAAAGTAATTCGTCAACGGTAAGATCGATACTTTGTCCTCGGGTAAACGGGCCGCTATTCACGAGCGATGGGTTCGGTCGTCCACCGAACGGATGGCGACGTATCGACGAAACTTGGAATCCCAAGGAACCGTATCGATTCGGGGATACTTCGATGTCTAATTAATCGTACCCGACGAGAAATCGTCGGACGTACGATCGGATTCCCCGACTCAGGTGTTATTTCCAGGGGACAATGGCGGGGAATTAACTTCTCGTTGCTCCTCTTGCACGCTCTCGGGTCTGCTGGCGGTGCTGCTCGACCTCGAGCTCAGGTTATCCCTGTCGCTGAAGTAGGAAGAATCGCCTCTCTTCTCTTCCAGCTGAAGCTGTTGTTTGTCGTTCCTGAAATCGTCTCCTCCATGACCCAGCAGACCAGGGAAGTACGGTATTCCTTGTCTCTGCGAGGTGATCTTGCCCATGAAACTGCGAATCTCTTCGAAGTAAGACTCGTCCGCTCTCGGCAATTGTCCGTGGTACCTCGATCTAACTTCGTCCAGTATCGTTGGGCCATCGGCGTCGTGTTTCTTCAAGTGTCTGTCCAGGTTGGTCTGCTGTCCGAAACATCGTTCGCACAGCGGACACTTGAACGGTTTTTCCTTGTTGTGGATATTCCTGACGTGACGTTGAAGGTTACTGGAGATGCTGAAGCTTCTCTCGCAGTACTTGCACTTGTACGGCTGCTCGCCGGTGTGCGTCCTCAGGTGCCGCGTCAGGTTCGCCGATCTGGGGAACACTTTACCGCAGAATTTGCACGAGTATCTGTCCTTCGGCTTTAGACCGGCTTGAACGCTGATGGAGTAAGGTGGAAGATTGGAAGCTTGTTGTTGCTGCTGTTGTTGCTGCTGCTGTTGACTCGAGTGACTTTGTTGCTGTGGCTGATGTTGCTGGCCACTCGAGGGACTCGGAACTCTCGCGGCAGCCTGAGAGGAAGAGGACGACGTGGAGGAAGTGGTGGAAGAGAATCTGTTCGGTGGCAATGGTACCATGGTCGGTAACGCCCGCACTTGGATTTTAGGCAGATCTGGTACCGACGAACTGTGATGGTGCGACCGGTACATGGCTTCGAGGACCAACGGATGAACGGCATGATGCTGAGGAAACAGAACCGTATGATAGGGAAGACTTCCGCCGAGACTATTTTGGTTCAGAACCTCTATCTCGTTCTGATTCTCGTCCGTGAGTCTTTCCTTCTTGTGATCGACGCGAAGATCCAACGGTTCGCAGTCGAGATCCTCCTGATGATGAGATTGAGGTGGTCTAGCCGCCGGACTCATATGCGGCTGTTGCCGGTGTTGCTGTTGATTCGTGGGACTCGACAGGCCACGACCGTGGCCGTGGCTCAAATCGTATGGCAATTCTTCAACGTCCGGCACGCGAACGCTCAACGGATAGATGCTGGCTTGCTTCGGGCTGATGTGGCCCGGCATTTTTCTCGGACTCGAGTCTTTCTCCCGCATGGCTGGAGGGTACTTCGGGTCGTGCAACAACGTTGGGGGCAGGGGAATGTTACCGAGATATCCGCTCATCACACCGCTTCTGTCACCCTCGGCTTTGCTCCTGCTCGTCGCTCGGAATGATCTGAAACGACCGACAAATTCTTTACAGTCACTGAAAATAAATTCAAACGAAAATCGAACGTTTACATTGCAATTTAATTTTCAATCTTCATTGTTGTTTCGTTGCTGCGACAACGAGCAAATTTACAATGAAAGAATGCAAGTATCGTACCAGACACGTCTCGTTCGGATCACCGACAAAAACTGATACGATTTACCGAAAGGTTTTCGTTTCTGCCAGGTACACGAACTTATCCTATACGTCAAAACGAGATCTACCTAAGTAACCTACGAAACTGAACGCGATACATCAAAGCGTCAACCATATCGTGATGAATGTTCTTTCAGCCGGAGGCGATGATAGCGACACGTTTTTCGAAGCCGTAGAAATTAATCTTCCGATCGTTCGAATTGCTCGCGTTTTCGTGTATTGACGTCACGCTGAACGATATCGAGATACTTTGGTAACGAACGCGCGTCGAACGTACATCACCAACGATTTCTACCATGAAAGATTGCGAGGAACAAGCTACGAGGATGTATACGAAGTTCTTAAGTATGCGATCTCCGTGTAACGGAACTCTAGTAGAACGTACAACGATCTAGCTTTAAAACGAGACACGTGATACGAGAGATTCATAGCCAGTGACATAATCGACGTGTTAACCGTTGGTTCAAACTTCTTTTTACAGCACGTGCTATCTATCTTAATCAACGGACATCGTATTCTCTTGATTTTGATTTCGATCTTACGAAACCGATCTCCGGGCAGGTCCGTCTGCGTATAACGTACACGCGTAATGTAAAATCGCTCGAGCGAATCAACAAGAAAAAGCTGGTTTATTTCTTAAATTACGATTTTATAATCCAACTGCGTTTAAAGGAATTGGGGTGCAGCGGATAAACACACTGCTCGTGCAACAGAGATCGCAAGAAAGTTATACGATACATGCTGCAACGAAGACAGGTTGTCGCGTTAATGTTTCCTTATCTGGCATCGAAATCACCGCGCGTAAATCGTTACTTATGCGCGCGTTAAAGTCTTCGCTGGGCGTATCATTTTGTACGAAATTCGCCCGTTTCGTTTTCCACCGTCGTTCGCTCTGCCGAAGGTTAATCGAATTCTTCGATCGATCTTCGACGAAGGAAGTTCTCGCTAATTCGAGAAATCGAAGAATCCTTTCACAGCCGGTGTCGTTTCACGCGAGCCGATCCAGTTACCGAAGAAGCTAATCTTCAGCTGGTTGTCCAGTTCCAACGAAAGAGAAATCCGCCGGTGACAGGGTTGGTGACGGGCGAGGGGGGAAGGGGAACGAGGCGGAGGAGCGAAGGGGACCGAGGGAAAAGGAGGAGTCGGCGACGGTGCAAGAACCCCGTTCCGGCGTAAAAGGAGCAGGAGCAAAAAGCTCGCGACCGACAATAGTGAAAAGCGTTAATTACGAGTATAGAGAACGCGACGAGAACTGTTAGGTGTTCGGTTGGAATCGAAAGTGTACCGAACGGTTCGGAAACAGCGATCCCTCCCGGACGATGTTCGATGATCCAGAACGACCGAACGGTTTCGTTCGCGAGTCGTTAACCCATCGTTGCGTGCAAAAACCGAGATAAATTCCTCACCGGGAAAACGGTTCTCTCGAGCTTCTTTAATGACACTCCTAGCCTTTATTACCGGAATTATCGATGGACAGCGAGAAAGCCGCTAATTCTGAATTCCAACGATAAGAGATAGTAACTGGACCGTTCCCGTTGCTTTCCTCGCGTTCTCCGCGAATCGTATTCGTTGCGAAGAGAGCCGATAGGCATAGAGACGCGTCATCCGTCTAGATGTCGTTGATTAAGTTCGATTTACATATCGTACTTTCCCTTGTTCCCATCCGAGTCAGCCAGCCGGAGAAACTCGCGTGTGCTAATCAGATTTTTCACGGGATACAACGTCGACGACGACGACGACGACGACGACGACGTAACGCGTCCAACGGCAGATAACACGATCTTAAAGACGCCTTTTACGAACAGAATCTCTGTCTGTCGTTAATTCGAACGTTTGGTAGTTGGTGGATGTTGGTTTAACGAGCCCGCTGCCGCTTAATCGACCGTGAGGCTTTCGACGAGAGCGCGCGCTCCTTCTCCCTTCACAGATTTCCGGTAACTTAATCGCGAGCGGAGCGTACTTCTCGGAATTTCGTTTCCCTCGAGCAAGCCCGAGGCACCGCTTTATCTCCCGAAAGGTGGAGTTTCTCCGAGCGACTTCGTGAGTAATGTCCACGGGAAACGGTAGCTGGTTCCGTGGAACGGCAGTCGAAACAAGAAGAAGAAAAGGCGGGGCACACGATCCTTAAAGACTGACATCTGTTACGTGAATCAAGCCCGACTGACGTTACCAGAGATCGGTCGAGATCCACATGCCGCCGGCCACGATCCAGTTTTCGGTTTCTAGAAAGTCGGGATGAGTCGGGCGTGGTTTGTCTCTCTTTCCCTCGTCGTTTCTTTCTCGTTCACCCTCTGCCTCTCGCTCGTTGTCGTCCTTGCCGGTATGATTTCTCTCCCGACATTCACCTACGTGTACCATAAGTGCGCCTCCAGGGCCGCATGCGGTCCACGTACATATTGCACAATGCGTTGTTTTTCGAGCGGTGTTATGCTTTGGCAACATCTTTTAACGCAGCGTTTCCACTCGACCAATTCCCTCCCGTTTTTATCAATTTTACGTATTTACGAATCTCCAATTTTACGACACTCGACATTTTCTCTATCCTTCAAATTTCTACGATCCGAGAATACTAATTTCTACATCGTTTATTCGCGTTTACCTATAAGTTGTTCCACTCTATATCTTAGTATCTTGATATTTCAGGATGCATCGATATCTTTCAACGCAACTATCGTGAGATTTTCTCGTTTAATTATATCGTGTTTCGAATAAATAAAAATAACCCACGCGTTGCGAGCCAAGATCATTAATTCAACTCGCATGGGTTCCCTGCTTGCGCATGTATCTGAAAATCTTCGAGCGTTAAATGCGTCCCTGCGGCGTGGTAAACACCGTTCGTGTAACGCGTATAACCGTTCGCCACTTGTTACCCGAACGGACCACGTCCCTGGCCGGATTGTCAGGCGCAGGGAAGATTTCAATCGGTCGTTTCTTTTCGCGTGACGCAACTTTTCTGTTTTTTGATCGGCGAGAAAAACAACGAGACAGTGGAACAGAGAAAAGAAAAAGAAAGAAGAAAGGTGTTTCAGATATTCAAATACCTTTGCTGCCATTTTTACAGTTCGTTACAATTTTTCTTTGTGCGACCAACCTGTCCAACGCAATGAACTCCTATGTTAATTCAATATCTTGTTCATTGTTACGTGTTACGGTAGCAACAAATTGCTCTTCTGTTCTACCTTTACGAAACGTGTCTTTTTTCGAACCTACGATTCACCACATAAACGTAATATAACAAAAGATCGTTTAATCGTTCAAGCACGAAGAACGTAATCTGATACATTTTCAACGAATAAAAAATAACGCTGAGATTTTAGCATTTGGAGTTTAAATTAATAAACGCTCGACATCTTGACGCTGGACAGGTTAATTCGCGCGGATGGTGCTTATTTGGCAAATTATCGACCAGGCTATATTACTCAATGGCTTAAAAATCTTGCAGAATTCCGTTTTAAGATCGTGCTCATTGCGAGAAAGGTTCGTTCTCGCTACGGATTTCGGACGATCTTGATCCGCGAGCTGTCCCCTGTCCAAGCACTGTCCGAGTCGAGCGACATGGCGAAAAACAAGATGCAGGAGACGATGCGGTCGAATAAGAAGAAGCAAAGAAGAAGAAAGAAAGACGCGTCGATTCGTGTCTTTCCTTGTTGCACGGGGTCTCTGTATGAGGTACGATCGCTCCT